TGTATCAATAATTGGAAATGCATTAACTGTATAAATTATATGTTTATATATAAAACTATATACATAGTTTTAGACTATAAACTGAGGGTAGATTATTAATACTTGTGATACAGAATGCCAAAAGGCTGATTTTTCAAAGATCTCTTGAGACAAAAACTTTTGGCACTGTGAGACATTTGAACCATCCGCCCTTGGGTCGTCCTGACCTATGATATTTAGAATTTATATAGATATTAACTTAAATTTGTCTCTGTCAATTCTTAGCTTTCACTGAAACTTTTAAATTGTATGAGTAGTCAAATATTGTCACATTGAACATAAGACAAAAAGACAGCAAACACGGCAGACAAAAAACAAAACAACATAACACTGAGGCCTCTTATAACATCTTCCTCATTTTTCTCAACTGTTCTTCCTTCTTCTGTGTTAACACGTTTTTCTTCTTATTCTTACCCATATTTTAGACTCTTCCAAGTTTTAATACTTTTCCTATTAATAACAAGGGAGAATTCCAAAGGGCGTTGCAGGTTCTAGATCAGCTTTTCTACTGAAAGGGCAAGAGTTCAGAATTTAGCATCTGACAAAGCAGGGATAGATATAAAAGCTCCAAATTGTTTTAATAAATTTCTTTTCCATAAATTAGCAATAATGTATAGCACATAAAATTGCATTTGAACCCTTTGTCCATTCTTAGACCTCTAAACGTTGGGAGAGGTTCCTAATTCAGAAAGAGTTAATGTTAAATTTTTTTGCAAAAGCCAATTAAGAGGCTAATTATTTTTACTAATAGCAGACACATTAGCTTCTATACCCACAAGACCTGTAAAAGAAATTTGATTAACAGAAAAAGAGAGGACTCTTGATCATTAATGATGGTTTTTCAGAACAAATATTTCTCAGTACTTCCAAATCCTCTTACTTTTGATCTATTAATAGTACGAAACGCATGATAAAGGAGAAGCAAAAGTTGAGCAATTATTTAACCGGTTTGTAGGAGAAGGAACAATATTTTTATTACTAAAGAGCTGAACAGAAGATTCCAAACAGCAGTTTGGAATGACAAAGCAAAATAGTACAATGAAATGTGCGAGGAACTAGAGTCGGAAAATCAAAAGGGCCGAACTCGTTCAGCATTTCTTAAGCTAAAGGAACTGAAGAACAAATTCAAACCTAGAGTTGCTTTAATCAAGGATGCTTTAGGCAGACTATTAAATGATCCAGGAAGGAAGATGGAAGGAATATACTGAGTCACTGTATCAAAAGGAATTGGCAGATGCAGAATTTAATGAAATAACTTAAGAGCAAGAGCCTATGGTGATGAAGGAAGAAGTTCAAACTGC